TTTGTCCAATATGCATTTTCCTGAAAACTGTACATTGCACAATTCTCTGTATAATATCTGCATCTAATGATCAAATTACACCTATTTATATCATGTTCAGAAAGTAAAAAAGGTAATTTGTAAACATTATTTGATTAATTCAAGAATCAATCAAATAGATGATAAATTAAAAAGAATTTAAGTACAATAAAAAATGAATTTGAACAACGGTCTCATAGGCAGCATCATATGCTATAGTAGCTTAAAGCTCTATTTTTCTATTTCTAACTATTTTAAAAGCTTCCACTGATAGTGTTTAAAACACAATTTTTACATCATGGTTTCTTTGGCAATACAAAATGGTCAAAGTGAAATAAAAGCAAAGCACAAAGGTAGTAATATATGAAAGCTATATCTAATGGAAAAAAACAAATGTTTTGGAATTCAGTTTCCCTTGATCATAGTGATTGAGCAAATACTTGATTAGAGAACTACTAAGGTTTAATGTAAATAATTGTCAAAGCTATATCTTCAAAGCAATGCCATAAAAAAATGCTTTTCTAAATTGATACAAAAACGTTTTTAAAAAAAAATACCAAAAACCTCAGCATTTTCATAAAAGCCAATCTTTACTGAAAATACAACCATTATTGTTTATTTATTGTTGAAATTGATCAGGTTCCCTGTAAATGTCATTGAATTGGGTTACTCTAAATTTCACTGAATAAGACTTAAATACAACCTCACAAATAACCATAATTTTTACATATAAATTATTTATTTTTTTCGCAAACGCAAATTATGTCTGATTAAATTTGAAAATCAAAAACAAAATAACTGATTTTCCTTCGAAAATCCGGTTTATGAATGTTCTTATTGAAATCTAAACATATTTCCTTGAATAATTTTTCAAATAATAAAATTTTCTCAAAAAGTAATCATATATAATCCAAAATAGGGAATATCTAATACTACAGGTTAGGTGGGTTACTGTACAACAGTTATACTGTGTGGGAATATAAAAAAATATAACTTTTACATAAATATATCACAGATTTCTGACTTATAGCTATTTGATTAATATTTATTAAATGTCTCTCTAGGATTTAAAAAGCATAACTTTAAACTGGCATATTCTCTACTGTTATATTCTCAACTAGCATATTACATAATATAAAATTATTATAATACATAACACACTTATATACATTGATGCCCTTAACATAACTTAATACTGCAACAATTAATTTTTAGCAGTCAAATTTCACTTGAAACATGTGTAAGATACAAAACCACAGACCTATTTTATACTAAGTTTTCTGAATTTATTACCATCTTCATCATTTTAAACAAAATACTCCTTTCTTATATACAATAATAATAATTTACAGAAATCTATATGAGGTATAATACAAAATACATAAAATAAAAGATGCCATTTTTAAAGCATCTATAATAAATCAAAATAAAATATGTGCGTTGTACTATGTTTATCATAATTGAATTAATGATGAATTTAATCATTTTGTGTAATATTAACTTTTTATATGCACATCTTTAAAACTTAACATTTTCTTAATGATTCTGAAAAAAAATATTGTCCTTAAGCATTCAAAACTAACAGACTTTTTTCAATATATGACTTTTATGGTAGCAGATGTATGGTGTGTGATGGAACATTTTTAACATTTGAATTGTCTTCCTTTTGTCAAAAAATAATTAAGCATAGTACATAGTTGCCAACTGACATGATATTCGCGTGTAATACACGCTTTTTCAACGGTTTACACGCGAGGATTTTGTCACATGGCGATACACGCGTTTCGCATCTTTACACGCAATTACACGCTTTTTCGTTGTTTTGATTTTTTGGTCGTTAGTGATATCGCGATTCTCGGGTTTTTTCATTATTAGACAAAAAATACCGAAAATTTCGAAGTAATTGTATTGTCGCCATTGTTTATTTTCTATATGGACGAACAGCAAAAGCCCTTAAGGTAAGTAGTTTGTGATTAGTTTTTACGATTTTGTGACTTTCTTTCTTTCAAATTCACTTAGGGGAAATGTCGCCAGAAATAGTTCGCTTTCAGGACCTGTACCGTCGTCTAAAGAGCCGATTGCTAAGCGAAAACGATGTGTACGTACCAAGATAAATTTCAAGATTTACAAATTATATTTGGGAGTTCAAGTTTAAATTATCGAGAGACGAGTAACGCATTGTGCACCCTATGTTGCAATCATAACAATACATGTGAGAGGAGAACTACAATGTAGCGATTTGATTAAGCATTTAACGTGCTTAATGATAATCAAATAATAAAATACTTTTCTTTTTCAGTTTCAAACCTAGCCAAACAGATTCCCACAGGCCAAAGGGGATGGAAATATCACAGAACTGTTGGATCAGTTCTCATAGTACCAGCTGTCTTCTGATGAACTACCCAGTTTTGACCAGACAATAGCCTCAGAGACAATAGCAACATATATAGTTCGTTGGGAGCAATGGCAAAGATAATAGATGACATTTTAGATGGCAAAATACGTTATGACATTCTTTCAAAGCTTATCAAGCTATTTAAGTTCAGCCAAATATCAATTCTGACTGTGAGAGAACATTTTCAATTATAAAAAAATCTACACTGAATTCTGATCAGAACTCGACAATGATATATTGTGTGCCTTGTTATCAAGTAAATGTAATCAAACTGGCAGTTGATTTGAATATGTGCCTAAGCCTAGGGTGTTGCTTTAAAAGCAGCAAAACAGACCACTGTTGAATACAATAAAAGTTTACTCTAGAATATTGTTTTTATTATATATTAACAAATTTGTATAATCATGATAATGTGAAATTATGAACATTGTACATATAAAAAAGTCCGCATCTTCGTCACGCGTTTTCACACGCTTTTTGACATGTCATGTCATGTCATGACATGATTTCTCATTGTCAGAGGTTGGCAAGTATGGCATAGTATGATATGATTTTTAAGCCACTATAAAATATCCTGTTGACACAGAGGTATGTATCGCCTGTTAGCATAAAATTCAGAAAAAGACAATCTGATGGACAGCAACATTGCTAATTAATTCAAAGTTGCTGGACCAACTAGTGGGTAGGGCCTCGAAATGGTTGATATACTGAGATGTACAAACAGCAATATAACGTTATAGAAAATATTGTCTATTGTAAGTAGTTCCTATCAAGCTAACTTAATCATAAAACTTATCATTGAAAATTACTAATTAATTGAAAGTCACTGAACCATGGCCTAGGGGGCAGGGTCTCAAAATAGTCGTCACACTGATATGTTCTGATAGTAATGCAACTTTATAGAAAATATCATTGATCTATCACCAGTAGTTCCTTCAATCTATCTTAAGCAGAAAACTTAACATTCAAAATTGCTAATTAATTCAAAGTCACTGAACCATATCCTAGGGGGCAGGGCCTCAAAATACTCGTCAAACTGATATGTACTGATAGTAATGCAACTTCATACAAAATATCATTGATCTATCACAAGTAGTTCCTATCAAACTAAATTAAGCAGAAAACTAATAATTGTTGACGGCGTCATTGCAGCCGTCAACAGAAAAGCAATCATTATGTCTCGCTTTCCGCGACTTTCGTGGCATGCAAGACAAAAACCATCTTAAGATTCTCATCCAACTATTTTGAACTATTAGAACGATGGATGATGAGGGTTATTTTTGCAATTTTTTGGAGACACCTAGAAAATTAAAAATAAATAAAGGTAGGATAAACAAAATAAATATTTGGTTCTGAAAAAATCAGCTGTATGAGAATCTATTTTAAATGATGACCTTGAAATGTTTCTACAAAGATTTGACTATATGTGAGTAATGATAGTTCTGCGAGTCCTGTTGTACAGTGCAGAAACATGGCAAAAAACTTTACAATTGGAAAGATGAATTAGAGGATTTGAAGGATGCTGCTCATTACAAATTATAAACATCAGATGGCCAAACATAATTTTTCACAGTTAACTTACCAAAGAACAGTTGTGATAAACAAAGCAAATGAGACCAAAAGAAGGAGATGGAAGTATATTGGTCATATATGAAGAATGGGTAATAACAGAAATGTGAATAAAATGTTGACATGGATACCACAAGGTACAAGGAGAAGAGACACAATTGCAAATATAAAAAGACATGGTCACACCTGGAATCATAAAGAGAGAATGACAAAAGATAGATCTTATTGGAGGTGCCTTGCTTATGCCTTATATGCTCAAGACCATGAAGAGGATTAAGCTAAGCTATTATGTTGTCAATAATCCTGAGAATCCTCTATCATGTCAATAGATTAAAAGTTGCATAGTTTTATTTGCACCAATTTATATATAAAAATAGTTTCATCTCTCATTAAAAAAAACTAACAGGAGATCAAAATTAATTACTGTGGATTCATTGATATTTGATGAATATTAATTTTTGGATTTTTTTTAGTAGACACCACAAATATTCAAAGAGATACAAAGGTTAAGTTACTTTGATAGGAGCAAATTATGAAATCAAAATTTATATACCTTTGTAATCGCTAATTGTTCTGCAACTATAAAAAATTAATATAAACCAAAATTAATGAATCCATAGTAAACTGAGCATTGGTACTTTCTACCAACTAACAAAATATTTTATATTCATTATTGCTGTTATACTAATGCTAGCAAGTTAAAGGTTTGGTTTTCTTGCTTGCTTTGTTTGTATTAAAGTTAGCTCAAGCATTGTAATTAAGATTGACATCTGAAAACAATATAAAAAGGCAGAGTTAAACTTGTATACATTATATTTAAATTTGATTGGACATTATCAAATAATCAAATTTTCCTATATACAGGTTTAACTCCACCTACTTATATTCTTTGCAGATGTCAATCTTAATTACAATGCTTGAGCAAACTTTAATACAAACAAAGCAAGCAAGCAAATCAAACATTTAACTCGCTAGCATTAGGATAACAGCTGTAACATTAACATAATAATAATTACATTCAATCTATAACAATGAGATGAAATTCAACAATATGCTTAAATAACAAATATGTATAATTATATGATATGCTGTTTGTGGAAAACTATAAGCATGCCTTGAGCCATAATACCTAAATAACCAACATCTACACATATCAAAACTACCATACATCCAGACAGTAACACATCTTGTTTCACAGAAAACTTGAGGTTTTGATCTTTTAACAACTTTCTCTCTGAACCTTGTATGAGATCAGTACAATCTGGCAGTGCATGCTGTACCTTTCTCTAAACTCTATGAACACATTTGTAGACTATAACTTTTGTCATACAACCTGTAAAAGAATTAAAAGAATACATATGATAATGAAAAAGACTAAGATGGGCAAGTCGCAGTACAAATGGTTTGTAATTGTAAACATCAAATAAATGGTATTGATACATTTTTTAATATGCTTCAGAGAGTACTGTGGATTCATTATTATTTGTTGGATACCAATTTTCATGGGTTTTGTGGGTACAGGTGAACCACGAAATTAAATGTTCAACAAATACCAAATTTTCTATAGGCTTGTAAGCAGACTTCGGCAAAACCACAAAATTAAATATTCAAGAACATGTAAGTTTTCCTTAATCCACGAAAATTGGTACCCACGAAAATAAATGAATCCACAGTATATGAATGATTTGAAGCTTAAGTTAAAGGAAAGGTGATATCTAAAGATTTTTTTAAATTAGCAAAATAAGAAAATTGAAATCTTCTGCGAGATATGAGATTAATCAGGCAAAATCTCTAAGTATGTGTAAAGAAAAGGACTGCAAATCTTCATACAATCATTCTAAAATTTTGAATGCACTATGTAAAAAAAATTTATGAGAACTTGAGTTCACAAAAAAATCAAGAGAAAATGCTGCAAATTGCTCCAAAAATGTGAGATGGACATTTTTTTTCATGAATTCACATCTAGGTTTACATTCATTATTTTGTGTTGTCTTGTTGACTTCTCAATGAGATATATCCCAGATCTCTCACATACATTAATATGATTTTGGACAGATTGAAGCATCATTATTATTTTTGTCAACTTGAGGTGGAGTAATTTTAAAGTGAAATTAAAGAAGAATTATTTCACATTTGGTCTTGCACAATTATAAAAAGCTTTTAATTACCTGGCCTAACTATTCTGAACATCACACAACTGATTCAAAGTTGACCTGTTCCTATAATAGAAAAAAAAAACTTCAATATAAATAAAAGTTTGCAAATATATAAATTTTTCAGTTGAAAGTCAAGATAAAAGTAAGTCTATGCATGAAAATGACATCAATTCTTTGTGGATTACCATCACAATTTTATGCATGCTTATTCTTTTTTAGTTCATTTCTTGTACATCTATTTGACATTTTAACTTCTTTGCATCTTAGAATATTTTCCCTCTGTGTGTTGTGAGTTACTGCTTTCTTTCGTGATCACAAATTTGTTTAATAATTTTATGTCTTCTTCTCTCAATATGGCAATGAAACATGTTCACTGCATAGATGCTGTGTCATATCAATTAAATAAAGAAGATGTGAGGAATACAATAATGAGCAGCAACCAATCAACAACAAGAATATGTGTCATAGGACACCCTTCTCTGCTTTCACTATCATATTTCTATGTTCATCAAACTGTGAAATCTGGGTCAAACCCTAATTTGAAATATATGTTCAAGAGTTCACATCATAGCAAACCTGTGTACTACATTTCAAGTTGATGCAGCCACAAACTACCTTAAACCAAATCTTAATCTACCTCAAACTAAAACCTGATATGAGAAGAGTGACAGATGCATAACCATGGAAACATAAAGCCTCTATTATCACAGGCAGGGCTTAAAAATATTCAAGATATTTAAAGGGAAACATACAGTCCTCAACAATAGATGCTTTCAAGCTCCAAATCATCCAAAGTCCATAAAAAGTTTTTAATGAGTTCAACAAAAATATTATATACTATATGCCATCAACACCCAATATTTCAATAAAGAAAAGTTTAAAGATGATGATGTTCCTGACTTGGGATGGGTACTTGAAAATGTGACTGGGTAAAACTAGTTCTCTTGTAAATCTCAATTCTGCTCTTTTATGTGTTTTTTTTAATGAGAAATTGTGAATTGGATTCTTTAATCATATATATGATACAGTTTAACAATTGTGAACCCTTTTTTTCATGATATGGTACACTTCTGTTGATAAAATGTAAATGTAATGCCAAAAAAGACATGAATATGGATAATATCTGAAAAAGGCAAACAAAAACTAGACAAAGATGATGCCCTGCAGCATGCATGAATATAATGCCAAAAAAATTGGATTTCGTAAACATTGATGTTGAAGTGCAACTTCAAGTGGGTGTGTCTAACAAACTGACACATTGGCGACCATTCCAAAAATTTTTTAACATTCTTTCATAAGTGAACATGTAATAAAAAATCAAAATTGGGATAATATGCACCCTTAATATATGTTATAATACCCTGCATAATATAAACTCTCAGAAAATGCTGATGTAAATATGCACACCTTTTATAGTTGTACAAACACTAATCATAACTATAAAGTTCAGCTTGAAAACTGCAGGAGGAATTAGCTGTTAAAAAAAAGTAACCACAGTTTACTGATGTTCAAACCATGAACTCTACTTACTTTTACAAAAAGTTCAACATTCTGTCTTTTGTGGAAAATTTAAAACAAAATCATAATCCTGAAGAAATGCACATCTTATGTATATGAACTATCACCCTACACATTATATGTGTTGTATTTGATGATAATAAATAACAAATATAAGGTTGAGACTGAATACGAATGCAGCCATTTTCATTTTAGACAAAAGCCATCTGAAAAGTGACAATTAATGGCATAATTGATAAATTTTAGGTTGAATTGGAGTGTCTTTAATGATAAATCATTTAAATAACATAATTGAATCGAACTTAGGTGTTTAAAGAATAGAATGAAGTAGAAAATTAAGTGTTTCAAAAATGTCAAAACTCTTTCATCAGATGTACTTCAAATTAGGCCAAAATTGACCTTTACCAGACCTTCTCCTTTAAAGGAAATCAAAATCTTGATAAAATATAAAACTTGAGTATGTGTACTACATAATATATAAGTTCTAGCTTGAAAACTGAAGGATATGTTAGCGGATAAACCATGTCTCTAACAAGCCTAATGTATCCAATTTGGAACATAGGAAGGAAGCACAGGGATAAGTCAATACCCCCACCCCATTGGCACTATGGAATAGAAGAGCACGAAGAATCTTAATTTAAACACAAAGAAGATAAAATTTTACTTTTAGCTGGCAAAGACATCCAGTAACTATAAAAGCCTATGAAAAAGGTCAAAATCTAAAAAGAACCTAAAGGTACAATTAATAAATTCATTTTTTGTTTATGTATGAACATTTTTAAATATATTACTAGTAACCTAAGGAAATATTCAATGGTACAAATAACTAATTGTTCTTGTCAATTTTTTCCCAATTGCACACACCAAATTGTACTTATTTCTGTTATTTGTTCACACATTCATTTACAGTAACGAATAGGTCAGCATGAGCTTCTTATTGTGGGAGACTGCAATACTCCAAAAGATGAATCCTTTCACCAAAATATAATATTGCAGGTCACTTAGTATCTGAGGCCTGACCATGGAAACAATAATCTTAATCAAGGTCAATTAAGTGTAAATGTAGGTCACATTGATCTTCTTTTTGTTGGACACTGCTATACTCCCACAAAGATAAATCCTAATACCTTACACCAAAGTATGAAGTTTTCATTTCTAAAAATTGGTCGATACTACAGTTGGTGGACTGTTAGTCCCAACGAAATCACCAATCCAGTGCTTTAACACCTACATGATTTCTTAAATATTCCTTTGATGAATTAGAAACTATTAAGACATTGAGCCGTTGGGCCCTTTTGATCTATATCATATCCATTAACAGAAAAACTCTTTTACTATACACTGATTTCTAATGTCATGACAATGTTTTATGAGCTAACTGGATCCCTGCATCTATGAACTGACATAGTCATTGTGCCTTCTTGACATTTTTCAAACACCTATTATATTTTATTCTAGGTTACTTAATCTGACACTGCTTAAAGAAATATATTAAGTCACCTAAAACCAAACACTTTGATAGAAAGATATAGATTAGAATCAAGCGTATTAACAAAGCAAATGTGAACGTTTGTTTTTGTGCTTCTAGAAACAAAGATTGGGTAAAAATATTTTCTAGAATTTTCTATGAGCATTGCATTTTTACAATTTATTCTTTGTTTTTTGGGGAGATTTTTTTAAAGCTTAAAAATTTTAACTTATTTTGTATTTAAATGCAATAAATTTTAGTTTTTTATAAATTAATATAAATTTATACCTTTTTTCGTTCTAATTTCACATAGTGAAGACTTTCATCAATAAAACCAAGATGCACTACAATAGTATCACCACTTGAACTGGCCGCATTATATTTGATGAATTCCTTTGGCCTAGCAGTTGAAAGAACCCATATATGGACATTGAAATGGTGACTTATTGCCCTGAGAATAATTTCATCTCCATATATTCCAGGAGAACTCATGTTTTTTAAATACTGCAGCCATTTTTCCTGTCTTTGGTTTTCTTCATCACATATTAAAAATGAGGAATACTTTTCTCCACTAGGTGTTTCATCATTGTTTCTTAAGAATTCAACTGTTTTGGATCTTAATTCCTTAGCCTTTTCCTCCATGATTCTGCTTTGCAACATTGTCCAGATTTGTATAGCAATTGCATGAAACATACAGTTTCCATCTGCATGAACATTTTTAACACTAAATTTAATTTCTTCTGCTATTCTTTCTATATTTGATAAGTCAATATTATTCTACAAAAAGGAATAATCATTTGTTTAAGTAAAAACTCAACTGAAGGATCAACTAACATTAGTTATATAAAGTATTTTTTTAGAAATGTGTTAAATACCTAAATGAATTATTTGTATTATATAATATTCTAAGCTGAAACGAATCAGACAGATGAATTGTTACTTATGTAGTTGCTATTTTGTTTATGATAAAATTTAACAGAACAGTCTAGATAAAACTACAATAATAAGCTTTGCTAAATAGCTTCACATTGATAGATTTTTATGTTTAACACCAATTTCAGCATTATTGGCTATATATTTCATACCAGCCGTGTGAATGGTTAAAATGACAACCTTTCTGTTGACAGGTTATATAGTAATATTAACTCAACAGATGAAATACTTAGACCACTTGGCATCATATTGACATGAAAAGTTGAACAAGGGAATACAATTTATAGCAAATGAGGTCACAATGTGGTGCCTGCAATGACTCAGAAATATGCTGGATATAGTTCATATGCTAAAATCAGTATATTTCCGGGACTTAAATCTATTGGGTATTTAATCAGATTTACACCAACATCAAACATTAGATGACTCCAACTAAATGATGATAGAAGTCTAATTCTCTCTCACATGGCAATCTTCCCCCTTATTTCTCACAGGGAATTCTTTCTGACATATTTATCCAAAGGTTGGTAATTTCATTAATCAACTGATGTTTTTAAAATCTGCCTTTTCTTTTCAAAGGAGGAGACTTTAATAATTGGCCAATCAGAATCAAATATTGACTTATGCAGCGGCTTTGCAGCCAGGTTTTTCACTCAAAGGGAAAAATGATTTTTTGAATACTTATACAGGACCTCCAATATATCAATCCTGCCAACTCTGGTCCAAAATAGGTGTATGGTTTCAGTGGCGATGATCAAAATGTATTTTGTGTAAAGACAGACTAACTGATTGACTACAGATGCAAATAGTTAGTAACTCCGATGAACCTACAGCTTAAATGAGGTTAACACCTTATCACATGATTGCAGATTAAAATATAGTGCAGAAATAAAGATGGGAGTTAAAACTTAATCAGAGTCACCAAAGCATGAAATTTAAGACTGACTTCAATTTTATGGAAGAGGATTATCGCCATACTGCAATTCATGCTTAATAGACACTTTTCAAAATCTTAATTTCATTTACCTATATTAAAATTCTAACTTCTAACTATAATATTGAGCGTTTGCCTGGTCTTTTTTTTTGTCACTTTTTCCTTTCTCTTTTACAGTTTCAAGGGTATATAAAAAGAAGGTATGGTAAGGCCACAGTTAAATAACCTCAATGAAAATGAGATGTGCCAATGCTTAAACAACTGCATACCAAATAGCATTGACCTACCACTTATGGTATACACTTTTCACAACTTGTGTTAATAAAATCAATAACTTCATGTGAGTGATTGTGGAAATACAAGTAATTTAGGCTGAACCATGTTTATACAAAATCTGAAACATTTCTATTTTAAACATGTAAAAAATTTGGTTCGGGAGACTAATTTCAGAGAGAGTCATTAGAGTATACCTATTAAGACAAACCAGGTCCACAGGTCTAAATTATTTTACCATTAATAAATTCTCTACCAACAGTTGTCAAATGAGACACTAAGCATAACTATTTCCATTTGCCTTTTTGTTATGCTACATTTAAGCTTTATAAATTGTTATTTACATGTAAAATACCAACTTACATTTGATTTGTCATATGGAATGAATAATACCCTAAAAATATGGAACAGTATGTACACAAGAAGTAACTAAAACACTAAATTACATATAGAAGCATTGAAGTTACAATGTAATAAAGATGACCCTTGCCTTGTTTGTAAGTTCAAAGATAGAATATCATAATTATAAATTGAATTAGGAAACTTTTAAACTAATTGAACCTGCATATAACAAGAAGCCCACATGTGTCTGAATCTATCATCAGTTTGCTAATTAGAACTTTAATATGCATATACTACAGTTACATTTTGTGTTGCAAATTTACATGTTTAACCTAGCTCATATAGTTATTCAGAGAACAGCCAAAACTGCAAAAAAAAAAAAAAAAATCAACATTTCAGGGGCAATTACTCCAGAACAGGATGTCAAATTCATCAAACTTATCATGATTGAATTTCATACCATACACCGAATAGTTAAGACTATTGCTTTAATATAGTATCTGCAAAAGACCTAATTGGGAAAATGACCAATGAAACATTAAAATGAAGTCAAGGTCAGATGAACCCTGCAAGACAACATAAATAGATCCTATAGAAAGATGATTCACATTCATTGAGAGGCCTGTGCTTAAAAAAAAGTCTATAAGATGGATATTTTGGATTTTTCAGAATAATTTGAAATCCTTAATTTATGACAGACTTAATCATTGACATCCATACAAAGCATTCAGTTTGTAAAATGGATTCTATGGTAAACAAGTTCTGCTTTGGTGGCTGTCTTGGAGTTCAAGTTGGCAACATCATCACATCTTGAAAAGGATCATGCAAGGATCATTTATGGATTATAACGAACAGAAGCAAATAAAAAAATTAACTATGAGGTTAATTTTATTTGATACAAAAAATGAAGGGATGGTAAACAATCAAATATTTTGTCATTGACAATCTGAAAGATGCCTCTTATGATTAATAATACAAAATGATGCTGCCAAGGACAGTTTGATGAAGATATAAGGAATTGCCTTATTTTTATAAGCCTTGCACTTTTCTTGTTCATGCTTTTTATCATAATTTTTTTATATAAATCTTTTGTCATTTAAATACCGTAATCGGGCTTGTATAGTTCGCACTGGTACATTGTCCACAACCCCTTCTCACCAAGAAATTTCAGGTAAAGAAACTTTTTGTAACTGTTAGAAAATGTCTAATGAAACTCTGGTAATTTCAAATCGTGTGTTGTCATTTGCAGTATTTTTCATCATCAAATAGAAAGTGAAAATGTTTGTAAATGATTCTAGAACACTTCAAGAGTGTTAAAATAAGTCCAAATCACAAATAAAAACAATTTACAAACTTGTGTATGTTTAAACCGGAAGTTTGAATAGCATGTGTAAATGAAAATAAATATGGTGAGGTGAGAGTGTACGGAAAATCCGTACTTAATAGATATCACTAGAATATGACTTTAAAAGTAAAACAGTTCCATCCTTGTGTAAAACAATGTTTAATATATCTATCACATTAATGTTTGAAGGATCTTAAGCTAAAACAAAACACATGCGCCAGTATGAAACACCAAAACAGAACGAATAACCGATTACATTTTGTAGTTTATACATCGTAAGCAGTTTCTCGGTTGACTTCTACACTTTTTTCGTTCCTCTAAATTCAAGCAGATTCCAGTTTATTTTAAGCAATGCAGTGAAAAGAAACGAGAAATTTGAAGTGAAGCATTTAATTTTGAAATTTATCAGTTTATATTTGATATTGAATAAAAATTACATATTAATAAGGATTAGGTCAAATTATTAGTTTTGAAAATGATAAGAGCTCCCTCTACAATATCAATAACAAACATCGCAGAATGTAAACAAACCACCTCGCTTACACATTTTTTTTCTCCTATTTCTTGCTTATCGTACTCTATAGTCAGCACCCCTGTCTGGCAGGTTCCATTTTGGCGAATAAAACCCGCGGACTATATAAGTCTTTATTTGGTATGACTGAATTTAATTAATTTTTTTGTTCTGATTTACACAAAGGAAAGTTTCAGAAAATGTGTGAAATTAAAAACAATATTTGGTCTTTTTTCTACAATTTTTTCAAATGCTTAACTGATTTAGCCACTAACTTGATGAATTTGAGATAAATCTAATGTCCTATGCTCAACACAAGGACATTTTCATCTTTATTGTGAAATTACTGAATTGAAACACCTTGGCAAAAACTTTCCATCTTCACAATTTAATACCAGCTGCTGAAATATCAATATTGTTTGTAGCAACTCACCTTCCCCCATGTTCCTGATGTTGCAGTCTGTATCTTTAAATTTAGCTTCATCTCCTTGTTTATATCTACAATATCATTGTCCCTCATTTCTCCTTTATTCTGTCCAGCAGATGAGTTATTTGAAGTATCTCCATTGTGAATGCCTTTATGAAATTTATTACCATCTTCACTTGATTTTGTACTTTCTTCCTCATTCCCTTCCCCCTCCTCTTCTTCTTCCTCCTCTTCCCCCTCCTCTTCCTCTTCATCGTCATCATCCCTATCACCATCATCATTATCATCCTTTTCCTTAGAACCACTTATTTTAGGTTTGCCGTCTTCAGGATTTTCCCCTTTCTGCAATGTAACATCTTGACTGCCCTAAATATGAAATGAAAACATTATTACCAGTATTTTTATTCAGATATTTCAAGGTAAATATGATTATTTGCACTAAATATAAAGAAAAACAACTAGATTCAAATTTTTTTTATATTGCATGTTTTAATGTCTTCCATTTTATAATGCACAAAAAAATTTCAAGAGCATGCAGCTGCTACTCAGACTTTATAAAACATCACCAGTGTCCTAGTAGAAACTTGATGAATCAGGGTTCTAAAAAAGGTTCATCGGAAGATATCAACCCGTTGTTGATAAATATTCCATATCAACTTCACAACTAATACATGATGGTCTTAAAGTCTAGATTCTAGGTACTGATGTTTGTTTATCATCTTAATTACTTGTTATAGTATTATTTTATTTGTCTTAGTATATTATTAACCTATACTGTTTAGTCCACTTTTGGTACTATCCTTTTGGCGTGGCTTGAATCTATACATCCCATCATTGTGTTATTGTGCTATGGTCATTCTTTGTATTCTTGTCTTTAATTTTTGCTTATGTGCTATATGCCATTTTGATTTTCTTTGTTGACATAGCTGTTTGTTTTTATAGTGATTAAGATTATAACACAATGTTCACTGCTGTACCCAAATTTTGGACATTTTTACCTATTATATCTGTTTGTTTTGTACACACTTTGCTGTCAGTCAATAAATGGAATTTTATGCAAATGTCATACAAGTGAGAGGTTTAGCTAACTATGAAACCTGGTTTAATCCACCATTTTCTACATAAGGAAATGCCTGTACCAAGTCAGAAATATGACAGTTGTTTTCCATTCATTTGATGTGTTTGAGGTTTTGATTTTGCCATTTGATAAGGGACATTCTATTCTGAATTTTCCATTGAGTTAAGTATTTTTGTTATTTTACTTTTCAGTAACACTCCTTGAATAATTGTAATTTTGAAACTAGGTAAATTGTATAGGACTTCCGAAAATTTGAGAGTCTTCTTTCCCAAAAAAAATAGTTTATTCTCATTTCCAGGATTAGTTTAATTGATTGCTTGATTGTTGGAGTTTAAAGTTTGCCACTTTCAGCATTATTGGCTGTATTGTACCGGTATTGGTGAAGGAAGCTGGATTTCTGTGAGAGAACCACACCCTTTGACAGGACTAGTTTGATTGATTCATTCATTGGTGTTTTGTTTAACGCCACTTTCAGCACTATTGAGCTATTTTGTGGCGGTCAGTTTTTTATTGGTAGAGGAAGAATCACCCACCTTCAGTCAATCCTAGTCAATTAAGATTGGAGTCGAGAGCACCTGATACATGCGGGATTCAAACTCACAACCTCGGTGTTGACAGGCTAGTGATACAGTAGGTCAACTACTTAGACCACTTTGCCACTGAGGCCCCCAGGTCTAGTTTGACCTTGTCAAATCAATTCAAAGAAGAAAGATGAAAACACAGAGAAGAGGTGATCATTTCACACAGTTTTCAGTGTGAGGCTGGAAATATTTAAACAGTACCTTTAAAAAAATAAATCAAGCATGAACATGTAGATAATAAGAGGTTGTCAAGGTCAAGTCAAGTAAGCTTATATAAGATCTGCCCTTCTTAAACTATATTACTTACCATAATCACATGTCCAATATGATTACCTGTGAACAGAAAATAATTACATTTTACTACTGGTATGTTTCTAGATATTTGTGAACAACAAAGTCAAAATTCAGTACATCATAATAATATGAGTATTCATGCTGAAAATCATTGTCTGCTATATTGACTATGATAAAGACCAATTTTAAATGAGTTTGAATGCTTTTAAAGGCTTGTGTTATGTTGATTGTTTTAGTTACTATTTGTAATTGTACAATTTCATTTGCTATATGGTATCATTGTAATATGTAAATGATTCGCCTGACTTTACCTAATTTTCATGGTTAATTGAAAAATATCAAATTCCATACCGTCAATTTCTCAAACAATGAAAACAAAAGGTCAACCATATTTGCCATAGAGAATCATTGTAAGTAGAACATATTTGCCTTAGAAAGTTTACCTTGCCTTATCTTTTTTCATGGTAATTATTTGTGATTAGGGGATTTTTCAATGAAAAATTCAGTATAAACTTGTTAATAAATTATCTCCAATGAGCATTAGAATGTGTATAAAAATATTTCCCTTTACTAATAACTCTGACCTTGCATTATCGCATTTCAAACTGGGGATTCCCTTTTTAAAACATGTGAAATACCATGTGATTAAAAAATGTTGTCCGTAAACAAAAACAAAATTGAAATGTCTGAATCCTCCTACAAAAATCTTGGATTTTGTGGCAAAAAAAAATCAACCCAACAGTTAGACAGCTGTGTGAACAAGTCTTGCTTCATTCAGGAATCATGCGATTGGGATATTCAGAACGAAATTCATCAGGAAACCAATCAGAAGTATCAGAAGCTGCACGCACCCATCCATCGAAATTTCAATTTCATGACCAAATTAAAGTGCCAAAAAAAAGTAAAAAAGAAATTCTTGATGACACTATCTTGGAGTACATAAAAATTTAAACCAACAAGTATGCTACTCAGCAGATAACTCACAATCCTGATTGGGATTAATCAGGCAGTCTAAATCTTCTTTATCTAAAACAAAAGCTTTCATTGGTCTCTGCTTTGGAATTAGCATTGACGTCAAACCGGAGATAATGCTATACTGGTCAACAGATTCAAATATAGAATCTCGTATTTTTCACAAAACATTGGACGGAAACAGATTTATTTAGATCATGAGTTACTTACACTTTGCCGATAACAAAAATGCTGCACAACCAGGTGAACCATTATATGATGTTCTATATAAATTAGAAATATCTTAAATATATTCAACTTTTCAATGAAATGAGAATTCTTTCCCAACCATCAGACGTCTATTGACGAGTGTATAATTGCCTTCAAAGGAAGGGTAAAAGGACAAGGTTCCCTTTAGGCAAAATATGGCCTTGAATTTCAACTTTATCATAAAATTTCAAAATGGCCATAATTTGGTTCTTAAATGGATCTTTTTCAAATGCCTTATTTCTTTGTTAAAATACATCTCTTCGTAAGGGTTCATTTTTGGCCTCAAAATCAGAACATTTTGGATATATTGTCAAAATACGATGACTTTATGCATTTTTCGGACATAAAAAGCTGGAGGAAACCCTAGGGCTCAACCTAGGATCCAAAATGTTCTGTAACCAAGAGTTGCCAATGATGAAATTGAATCTCTAGACACAAAACTATCTGGATTTTGGGTGGTGGCCAAAGTAAATTATGCTAAAAATTGTTAAGAATTATTGAAAATTTGACAAAAACTGTTTTTACAACACAAATAATGCATACTTAAAGAGTCAATACTTCGTCATTTTTAATTTGATGTGCCAAAATGAAGTTAATTTGTATTAAAAGTAATATCGTAACTATTTCTATGTGAAATTTGTAGTATTATGGCCTGATTAAAAAAAAATCTAAATCTAAGGGCCAATTTTAACCCTTCATGAACTTGGTCCTTTAAGCAGTACATGCCAGCAAAGCCTGCCAAATGGGAATTAAAATATAGGCATTGGCAGATGCCCAAACAGGGTATATCTGCTACAGTGAAGTATTCACAAGTAAAACTGACAGGTCACAGGAGTTGTCAAAAAATGTTTTAGAAGTTGCAGATTTAGTAGGACAAGGCTATCATGTCAATGAAGATAATATTTTTTTCATCACCTCAACAATTTTCAGACTTATAAACAAATTACAGTACTACAGCATGTTGTACAGAACATAAAATAAAATTGCATATGGCCTTTCATCAGATTATTTGAAATGGTTTCATACACATAGCTTGACATGTAGCGACAATGCAACAGCCGACATAACAAAAAGAATAAAACAAGTGTGCACATGCTGAAATGTCTTGACTGTTTTACTGAACATTGATGTTATGTTGAAAATCTTAAAGATAAAGGTTCTAATACAAGTGTCACATAAACTTAACATTTGAAAAGATCCATGACAATGAGGTCAAGGTCAGATAAATTATGTCAGACAGACATGTTCCAGATTACAATTATTCCATACACCAAATATAGTTGACCTATTGCTTATAGTTTTTGAAAAACAGACCAAAACCAAATAACTTAATATAGACAATGAACAGTGATGCTTACAGGAGTTGTAAGTTGTAAGCAAGTAAGCTTGATATGTAATTTTACCATTTCTAATATGTTTCCTGTCTTGCAACTGCTGTAACTTGCCCAAAAATTGATATGGTAAAAAACAACAATTAATTTGGCCTGGTGACAGTCTCATGCAATTTTAATAATGCCATAGAGACACACAAACCAGTTCAATCCAGTAAAGAACGTGTTAAACCCATTTATCAGTCACAATATATAAAGCAGGCAATACATTTAAGCCTAGTATTTTGAATTTGGAGAAGCTTTGGCAAAAGTGTTTTATTCTGTTTAGTGCTGGCAATATTTGGACCCAAACTGACATGGAATCAAATTTTTGAACTCGAAATAGTCATCAAATACCCAAATTCAAAATGCTTAAACTTGTTTTAGTAAGGTTGTGGCAAAGCATATTAGGGTCACTTACCAAGAATCACCCTGGAGTCCTGAGAGTCCTTGTTCAGAAATTCTCAAAAATTGTTGCCAAATATGCACCCTGTCATTACAGATAAAACAAACATATAAGATTGTTTTCTATTATAATGAATCATTACACAAATACAATGGTACTTACTTCTCACATCAAAATTCTTAGCTATATTCACAACTCCTTTCTTTGCTAAAACATTAATAAAAAAAAGCTTTAGATAATAAATAGGAAGGAGGCAATTTCATTCTTGCCTTAAATAAATGGTAGGTTAAATTTCCTTTTAAATTTAAAATTAAGCTTGAATTTTTTTAGAAAATTTACCTTAATGCAATGTCTACCTTAAAGAAAAATCAATATACCTTTCAAATTCTTAAAGGACTCTTTTTACATGCATTAACCTAACATATCTATATCAATAATAAGATATATTACTCTCCTCTAAATTGTGCTCATGTTTTTATATATAACTATAATTCATCAAAGTATTAAATAGAAATATATTGATTGATATGGAAAGAGTAATTACTATTGGAGTTATTTCCCGAAAGATGATGGGACCCTAATAAAACTATTTCAATAAATCAAACTATTTATAAGCAACACATTGCATAGATAAACCTGCCTATATACCTTCATGCACATGAAGTCTTGTTGGATTTTCACTTTCAACTGTTCTTTCTCCAGCAGATGTGCAATACTTAAGGCAAACACGGTAATAAGCCTCATCTGATTCTTGAGCATCTAATATAGTCAAGTGTGGAAAGTCTACATTGGAATCTTGATATTTGGCATCTTTATTCTTACTGGTTTTCAATTCTTCCTTCATATTTTTATCACTTATCAAAATTTTCAGCCAAGTGATATTACAATCTCTGGGTTTATTTGTAATAGTACATTCAATTGTAGTTTTATTTCCCTTGTCAACATCAACTGAAAATTTGCTCACCTTCACAACAGGCTCTAAAGATAAAACAAAGTTGTATTTACTAATTGTCTAAAAGTGTGATCATTACAGATCTCAATGTACTGATCTGGTTTCAGATACACAATAATAACTTCAGAAACCTAAATAACAATATAACATTGTACAACCCTTCAAGTTTAATTGTTTTGCTTAAATTGATGTCTAAAATAACAATTTATACATAAAGAGTAAAAAAAAAAGATTTATTTTAAAGGAAATCTCACTAAACCTTCAAAATTTATACCATTTTTTAATGAATGAATCTTTAGTGAGCAAGCTGACAATCCGAATGCCCCATGTAAAGGGAAAGAGCTTAGTGTAGTTTTTTTTCTGTTTACTTCTATGTATGATCCTTTCTGTTAAGATCTCAGAGAATGATATTGTCTTACACATGTGATAAGGATTAAATTTTGGTACATTTTTGTAATATATTATTGTAAAAAAAATATAGTCCCCAAATTAAAATATTTGCTCATTATTGAACTAATTTTAGTATCTAAACAAAAAAAAAGACCCTATCCCCACAAAAAGAATAAATATGGGATATCTTTATCAAATCACCTCCAATAAAATAATTCTCAATTTCAGAATTTTTACTATACAACTCATCCCATGTTTTGATAGGCAGAAAGTTCAATAATATTTCAAAAATAGTGCTGATTGAAAGTCTTTTTTTAAATCATCTCCAGACACTTTTTGTTACATTTCAGTTAGTCCCAGAATAATTTGGTATTTACTTTATGACATATAAATGGGATGGGATTTTTTTGCACCTGGAGAAAACACTGATTCTTATAGGTTAAATCCAAATTGTTGCATTAAGGTTTGTTTATAGAGGACTTGCACCATGCTTTTCTTCTTTTTTATCTCACTTTAATGATATGTTTGAAGGCAAAGAAGACTGATACCACTATAGTAGAATATTTTATCTAAAGGTCATGCGACCTTTGACCTCATTTTCCATAACTTGCTGTAGAAAATTAAATATCTATTTCTATTGCAGTAATACCTTTCACTTTCACTCTAATAGAATCACTCTGTACTTTATTTTCCTTCTCATCAATAGCTTCACAATAGTAACTTCCATTATCAGATCTATCCAAATTCATTACTGTCAGTGATGGTTGCGAAATATTTTCAATTGAGTATTTTGTAATGTTAGTTAAATCTACCATCTCTTCGTTAAAATACCATATTACTTCATGTACATCTCCAGAAATAGTAACTTCAATTTTTAAGGTAGAAGTTACTACTTCAGTATATAACTTTTTAGGAACTTTAATTCGCAATGATGGTACATTTGGTTCTGTAGAAAATACAGGAAAGTATATTAGACATGTATATATATACTAAATAGTAAACTCAAAAGAATACTGCAGCAACATGAGCAACACTTTTACATGTGTTAACATATGGCTGGAGAACTCAAAGCTGTTGGATTTACTATAGGTGGATTGAACCACATGGATTTGACTCGAATGGTAAGAATATGATATTGCATAGACCTCGAACTCAATTTACTCTTTGGTTGATGACGTCTGTAATGTTTGTCTTGAATATCATACATGGAATATTTGCCACCAACTAAAACATGTACAATTTTCAATTATTTTTCTTAAAATAGTCTGCTCTATGGTCGGGTTGTTGTCTCTTTGACACATTCCCCATTTCCATTCTCAATTTTATTTACAACAGCAATTTTAATTGTATTCTATTTCATGCCTGTTCATCCAACACCTTATTAAACCTGGAATTAATATCATACATGAAGTAGATGTAAGCAATTATAGGCAAATGTACGAACTTCAACAATGATAAAACCCATACTGTATAGTCGGCTATAAAAGGCCCTGACATGAAAAATATGAAACAATTTAATTGAGAAAAATAACAGCCTAATTTATAACAAAACAATTACGAAAAAACAAGTATGACAGACATGAACCAGCGACAACCACTGAACTACAGGCTCCTTATTTGGGACAGGCACATAGTTATATCATTTGATTTGCAAAACAAACCCCAAAGAATAAACTCAACATATTGCCATCTTCCCTAGCCAAGGGTTACGATCCAGTCCCCTCCTCTCCACCCTTGGCGGATTAAGAGAGAATTTCAGATCCACGAGGTAGTGCTTTCCATTGGTTGCAGTCGTAACTGGCTGTATCCAATCAAAAAGGGCCTTTAACATGATCATGTGTAAATGTAGAAAATATAGATAAACAATTGCCACGTGCTGATTGTCCAGCAAATCTTTACCCCCCAAAACATATGACGATATTTAGTGACAATTTAAATGTTCTTAATCAACTAATAGAAGTTCCTAAATATGTTTCTTGCGCAAATGATGGAATGTCAACTTAAATTTTCAGTTCCTGTCTGCTTCAAGATGTTTGTAAACTCTAGACGCAACCGTTTTTACATCTCCACACTGAAGAGAGTTCAAGTGTTACCATTGATCAAAAATAATGTATTTAGAATGGGCGTGACTTTTATCAACCGATAGAAGACGCAACATTGTTATCGCAAATGTTTGCTAAATCTGCCAAGGGTGAAGAAGAAGGGACTGGATCGTAACCCTTGGCTAGCGAAGATGCATATTGCAGGATACTTAGGAAAGTTAACTTAAAATAACATAATGTGCATGTTTATAATTACATACCCTTTGAGAGTGTTTCTGACTCTAAATTTGGATCTGATGGTTCACCTTTAGAAAAAAAGAAAAAGACAATTTTTATTATAGTAATTTTAAATAAGTTTAATTCTATTAAAAATCAGATACAGAACACCACAATATAACTAATATTTACATGTTAAAACTTGGCATGCAATATAAAAATAAGGAGATTTGTGGTATGATTGCCAATGAGACAACTAGCTATCAAAGATTAAGTAAGGAACAAAGACGTGAATAATTATGTGGTACAGTACAGCATTCAACTATGATCAAATCCCATATTTTATAGTAAGCTATAAAAGACATCTTGATGAAAAAATGAAACAATTCTAAAGAGAAAACTAACCGGCTGAATTAAACTACAATATTAAATGAACAAAATTATGGTATTCAAAAAACCAACAACAACCACTGAATTACAGCACTACTGTTCAGACCATTTGCTTGCAGTCAATTAAGTACTGTTCAGTAGTTTTTCAGACAATTCAGTATGTTATTGATTTGTACAGATAAATAATACTTACTGAACAGATCTTAATTGACTGAAGTGAATTGTCTGTACAGTACCGCAGTGGATAAGTATGAAAATTGACTGAACCCTTTATAATTCATTGTTCATTCTTTTGAGAGAGATTCAGATAAAACTAAAAAGTGATAGTTTTTGACTTAAATTCGATTAACTAGTAAAGGCTCCTGTTAAAATTTTTCAGGTAAATTACTTTTATGTTGCAGACTATATCAGTATTTCAAAAACACTAAATATGATCTAGACCATAAAGTATATATACATGGTTTGCATTTTACATCAATTTGTAAAATCACTGTAAGTTTCAGTCATTTTGAAAGTATCTGAAATTGTTGCGACTTTTACAAAATTTTAGTTTGTTAAGGAAATTTTTACAAGTCAATGCTTATAAAATTGCAACTTATACCTATTTAGATCATCATGCCTAATCAAATTTAGGAGCAAATCTAAGCAGGAACTTTGGTTAATAATTCAACTAAATCAACTTATTTCATAAAATATTCATACATTGAATTTTTTTTCTAAAGTTATAGAATTATTTCCCTTGATAAATCATCACATTAAATTTTTTTTTTTAATAAGAATTCCTATATATGTTTCACATTCTACATCCTTCTTGACAAGTGAGGCAATTATGGCAGTATTATTGGAAATACAATGTATGTTGTAAACAGTAGCTAATTTCTGCCATCCATGAATGAATAATTATCCCATTACAAATCAAAGCTTTATTTACAATATTACTTACTAATTATTTCCATTAATGGAACAATTTCAGGCTGTTCACTAGGTTCTGATGGATTTCCTTAAAAAAAGTCACAAGAAGTTTATTTGTACATATTAAACAAAAACATTTTTGCCAGTATACACATAATAACATCAAATTAGGATTATGTAATTTTTCAGAGCATCTGTGTTTGGTTGAAATATTGATTACCTAGTGCTTCTACCTGAGGCTTTATGCAAATACATGTAGTTCATTAGCATATCTATATCTCACATTCTGAGAAGTTCTTTGAAAGTGAGAAAAACCTGCACACACCAAGACTCAGTGATCATAAGATTCCAGCTTTAGAGATTTCAGAAGTAAAAATTTTAGAAAAAGTTTGACCAAGGTAACCCTGATTAATGAAAATAGATATAAGACCAGTACAAAATGATGAGAGAAGCTACTAATTATGAATCTATGGACCAGGTGTGGTAATCACTCTGGCTTTATCTAGATAATGAATGACTAACTACATATTCAAAATCAAATTAGAAAAAGGCACACGGCACACAAATGGAGAAGCTGTGAGGATGGAAATGTGCTAACTGCGAATGAAAGCTGGTTGAGGTTACTGTTGGTACATTTGCACTTAGCTGAAGATCTTTCTTCTAATTGTACTTTATTCAGTTTTTGTAATTTTCTTAGCAGATAAGACAGATGCAAAGAATGAAAGTACAAGGACATAGCCCTTTTGATAGCTAAATTTTTTTATGTAAAAATCCTGTTTATTTTAGTTGGGTAAACTGATAAACTTGGGAATTCTGCACCATTCTAAATGAATTCTAGTTAGAAGGTGTAATTCTACAAGCCCATGAGGAAGGATAGAAAAACCCATGTTAACACAACTAGTCTAGTATATAAAAATCTTATTACAGATTGTATTAATTTACCTTGGGCTGCAGTCTGTATAGTCACTTTTTTCCCAAAGTGTACACTGTCTACACTGTGTATATGAAAAACGTTTCTGTCAAATCTAAAGCAAACACCACCTTCATGATTCTCTGAAAATAGGAAATTTTTGTAAGCATTTTGCTTACAATAGCCAATGTCCTTAGATACGTAGAACATAAAAAAAAATCATTTTACATAAGAATGATTTGTATATCACTTAGCAAAAATGCAAGAGTCTTTGAGATACAAGGAAATGGCTATGATAATTCAACTTCCATGATACCAGGGAAAAGATAGTTTCAGAGATGAGTAAGTGAAAATTTCCCCTAACTTTAAAATGGGTAGGTAAACTTTAAATCATTTATCAATATGTTGTGGTGTTGTTAAGGTAAGCTAATTTATCTGCGAAAAGTTGAATAAAAGTGAGAGCTTTTTATAATTGGAAAGTAAAATTTTAAACAAATGTATGAAGCCTACAAGAAATCCATTAAAAGCATTGAATTTTACAGCTCCAAAAAATCATACTAATTGTTGGATATCAAATTTGTGTGATGCATATTTACAGGGATATATATGTAAAAAAACAATATGACATATGAAAAAGCTATTATCAAAATTTACAAGTATATAGAAATCTTTATAATTGTTGAAACAAGTAAAACTGATGGCTACTGGCTCACTAATGATACCCCCGCTTTCAGAATTCAGTCAATAGGAAGCTGATGAGCAATACATTTAAAGCTGCATCACACAGCATGTTCACATGAAGCCTGATTAAAAATTTTATGAAGCTCTTATTTGTAGTCCCCTAGAAAAACATAATAAAAATTTCATACATGGAAATTATGTGTTAGTACCGGTACATACAAGTAATCGATAAACAGGAAGTTGAAAAGCAATGAAACTGAAAATGCATCGCACAGTATATCATGAAGACATGAAGCCTGAAAACAAAATATAAAGAAGCTTTTATTTGAAATTCCCTAGAAAAATGTGATGCAATTTCATAAATAGTAGTTATGTGTTAGAATATATAAGTAATGGGTGCTGCTCGATTATTATTATCTTGAAAACTATAAAAGAAGGATAGAAACATAAAATAACAAAAATGATCAGCAAGACAAGATCTACAAATAGGTCAAACTTAGTCGAAATCTCCAAACGACTCCTTATTGGAGTTGTGACTCTTTAATGATGATTTTTATCATTTTTTTATCATTTTTGGTTATTTTCTGAAAAACGCTAATAGATAGAAACATAAAATAACAAAAATGATCAGCAAGACAAGATCTACAAACGATTCAAATTGTATTGTAATAGTAAGTAGACTCTTTATAGGAGTGATTCCCCTTAAATAGCAACCCTTTTTACCCTCTTTTGTTTTGGGTAAAAATTAAAGAAGACAGAGAGAAACTGTAAACAGAAAATTGTCAGCAATGCAAGATCAACAAAAGATTTTTGTCATGAATCTATTCAAGTCTACAATGTTGGAAAGTCCCCATTGTTGAACATGCACATAGACTTAGATGAGCGAGTTTTTTTTTTAGATGTTGTGTATTTCCTAAACTGTTTGCTATTTTCCTTGATAACTCCTATCCTATTTTCAATATATTTATGTGATTTTGTTACTTCAGTCTTTTTTTCTCAAATTCCGTTCATATTTCTTTGTTTCCGTGTCTATTTCTGCAGTTTAGCAACATCCATTAGTAATTGGTTAACAGAAAGTTGATAAGCCATGAAACTGAAACACATCACACAATAAAGCATGAAGACATGAAGCCTGATAACAAATTTCAGGAAGCTTTTATTTGAAGTTCCAAAAAAAATGCAATGAAATTTCATACATGAGAATTATGTATTAGAATATATATATAAGTATTCCGTAAACAGTAAGTTGACGATCAATGAATCTGAAACTGCATTACACCATAAAGCATGTTCACATGAAGACCAAAAATTGATTGCAGGAAGCTCTTATTTATAGTTCTCTAAAAAATTGGGATGAATATTTCATACAAGGGGCAATTATGTGTTAGACTATATAAGTATTCGTTAAACATGAAGTTGATGATCAATGAATGTGAAACTGCATTACACAGTATAGCATTATCACATGAAGACTGAAAACAATTTCAGGAAGCTTTTATTTATAGTTCCCTAGTAAAATGCAACAGAATTTCATGGGACGGATGGACATACGGATATACAGAGGTAAAACAGTATTCTTTCCTTTGAAGCGGGGATATACATACATAAATTCCTATACATTTCCTTAAGGAATCAATATATAGGTTGCACTTCTGTAAATATAGACAATGCAATTTCCCATAGGAACTCCTTTTACGACTAAAACTGTGCCACTTTTACTATGAAGTTTCGTAAAAAATTATATCCTAGATAGGAAAGCTTATATGCACTACTATTTTATTCAAAGGTCAAAACATAGGGCTATATATGCAGCATATTTTCAACATGTATATGCCCAAACTTATACTAAAATTCTGTACTACCCCTCTGTTCACTTAGGGTCTTACTCAGAATTCAATTTGGCCGCTATCCATGTGTATTTATACTGGTAACATTCCCATTTTATGTCTCTATGAGATGAAACAGAGAGATCATATCTGGGAACCAGTATGTAAACAAAACAAAATATCTATGAATATTATTTATCTCCCCAAAAGAGACATGGTTTGTGAAAAAGCTGTATTTACAAAGTGAAACATATAGTAAAGTATCAATGTGGCAGTCATACTGCTTTTAAAACTGACACTTAATAGCAGTACATGGTATTTCCAGACATCTTCCTAAAGTAATTTCAACAGTTCTAAAGATTTTTATATAATTAATACTTAATATATGATTTTGATTGCTCAGACAGAAAAAAAAGGCAACTGTTGATGACATTGGTTAGTAGACAATTATCCACAAAGAACAGTTCAAAAAGAAACTTTTCATTTTTGCTTTAAATTGATTTTAATCATTTTTTAAATTTTTAATCGGCATGTTTTTGTTACACATTCTTATATGTTCAAACATTTCCAAAGTTTCTCCCTTGACCAATAATAATTTGTACAATAAATAACATATAAATTTTTAAGAAATATATTCGTATAGTACTTGCAAGCCAATAATACATCAACAGTGTTCTTGGGCTTATTTTGAAAAAAAATAAACCAAACTGACTTCTAATAGTGAAATATTATTTCATCTATGTCAAGGTGATAAATAAAGAGATATAATTAGTGTTTTTGACTAGTTCATGATGGATGACAAATGATGCAAATGCCCCCATGCCAATGGCAAAGTAAGTATAAAAAACAAACAGAACATCAAAATAGTTTAAAAAGCTGATAGCTAGCTGGCGTAAAAGATTATCATGAAATTTATTTTTTTTAAATAAGCTTGCTGCATGCTAAAGCAATAAAGCTTTGCAACATTACATTTAGGAAACTAATCATTGGATATTGGTGAAGAGTTCTGTAATAAATTCTAAAGAACCTTGCCTTCTGTTAGGTGCACTGTTTGTTAGAAGCATTAACATGAACTTTTTAAAGAGGTAACAAAAATAAGAAGATACAAAAAACAGCAAACAACAAGAATGTGTCCATAGTACATGGATGCCCCCACTCGCACTATCATTTTCTATGTTCAGTGGACCGTGAAATTGGGGTCAAAATTCTAATTTGACATTAAAAATTAGAGAGATCATATCATAGGGAGCATGTGTACTAAGTTTCAAGTTGATTGGACTTCAACTTCATCAAAAACTACCTTGACCAAAAACTTTAACCTGAAGCGGGCACTATCATTTTCTATGTTCAGTAGACCATGACATTGGGGTCAAAACTCTAATTTGGCATTAAAATTAGAAAGATCATATCATAGGAAACATGTGTACCAAGTTTCAAGTTGATTGGACATCAACTTCATCAAAAACTACTTTGACCAAACACTTTAACCTGAAGTGGGACAGACGGACAGACGGACAGACGGACAAACGAACAAATGGACACACAGACCAAAAAACATAATGCCCCTAGGTGGGACATAAAAATAATCTTTTAAAGACTGACAGACAACTCCATAGCCAGAGGAAAATAGCATGATCTGACGTAATTTGCTGGAAAGAACTACCTAAATAACTAGAAATAACAATTTTAAACTCACAACTAGTTTGGTATTTATTAAATTGAATCTTTAACACTGATGATATGCAAGAAAAACTAGATTTTCAGTGAGCTACTGCACACCAAAGATACCTCTGCTGAAAACTTATTTATAAAAGGAGCTTGTCTTAATAAAGCACAGCATTACAAAATAAACATGGATAGTGTCCACATGTGGACACAGATGATGCCCCTGCTTGCATATCATATAGTTATAAAGGGACATAACTGAAGAACGGTAAAAGTGACGCTACCCAAATTTGAACTTGATCTGAGTTTTGTGGTAATAAGCATTGTGTGTAAGTCTCATAACATTTGGTTGAGGCTAACTTAAGTAGAGAACAGAAACTAAAAATTCAGCAATTTTTCTATTTGTAAACACGCATAACTCTAGAACGGTTGTGTATAAGTTTTATAACATTTGTTTGAGACAAACTAAAGTTAGAGAACAGAAACCAAAAATTCAGCAATTTTTGTTTATAAAGGGACATAACTCAAGAATGGTAACAGTGTCACAAACCAAATTTCGTACTTAATCTGTATTATGTAGTAATAAGCATTGTGTATAAGTTTCATAACATTTGGTTGAGGCAAACTAAAGTTAGAAAACAGAAACAAAAAATTTGTACTTGATCTTAGTTTTGTGGTAATAAATATTGTGTATAGGTTTCATAATGTTTGGTGGGGGCAAACTTAAGTTACAGAATGGAAACTAAAAATTTTGCAATTTTTCGATTTATAAAGGGGCATAACTCAATAATGGTTAAAGTGGCACTACCCAATTTCAACTTGATCTGTGTTTTATCAGTGGAAGGCAAAATTAAACATTGCATTGTATAAAGCATTGATTGTAGTTGATTTAACTATAATCATGGACAAAGGAAGATAACTCCAATTTTAATAAAATGCTTCGCTGGGGAGCAGTTTGATACGACCGCAGA